CCACCACAGAAAAAAAGTAAAAAAATTCCTTGTTGTGAGGCCCTTTTATAGCGTGGACGAATTCTCCCAAGTCTCTATCGAGTATTTGGCATGTAGCTTTGTGCAAACAAGTTATTGAAATTAACACGAAATGGCTATCAATGTTCATTAAGTAGCATTATATATTCACTTTTACTCAATATTCGTATATTCACGTACTCATATTCGTATTCTGTTCGGCTGGGCTGAATGTTGTTCTGTCCATATATGCTGCTATTGTCTCTAAGCATTATTTTATAGTTTGTATTTGTTAATTTAATGTCCAATATAGCGTTTTACTTTACTAGACTTTGCCAATAAGATATTCAAATCTTGGGCAATAAAGCATATTTGATTTGATTTTCATTCGATTTAAAAAATTATAGACTCATCCGAATAATATTTAACATAATGTATTGTAATTTATTGTATCAGTAGACTTCAGTTACAATATATTTCAACATAGTTACATAACTTTTTAAAATGGTTCACAATACTGATGATTCGAATTGCTCTTTTAATGTTACAGGGTTATAATAATGTATCTTTATTTAAAAATATATTTTTTCCAGAAATGCATTACAATCAATTTTGACAAAAAGAAAATCGCAGCAATCACAGATAGCGATGACTGGTTGTGCTTCCGATGCAATCCTTCCCAACTCATTCACCTCAGAATCCATTGCTCCGAATTCATGAAATACGTTCAGAGAGAAATGGCGTAAGTATGCAAATAATAGGTGTTTCCAAAAGTTTTGTCTGTTTAAATCTTATGTGTTTTTGTAGCTGCATATCTCGATAAATATTTATTCCACTGTGTCGTGGTATATACTGACTGATACAGAATTTTATAGTCTATACAGTGGTGCTATTTTTTTTCCAAACATTGATTTTTTTGTCCCTTTTTAGCCCAATATTATACGATGTCATTAAGCAGTTTTCTGCCAAATTTTCTCTATGAATTCAGATAATTATTATTATTATAGTGGAGATGGTGGAAGAACTAGGCGTTAGCTCCCATGCGGTTTTTGATGGTTTGAAACTAATTGGAAAGGTCATGAAGCTCAAAAAGTAGGTGTCCCACGATTTGAACAATCGACAGAAATTATCCTGTTTCGAAGTCTGTTTTTTGCATTAAAATAGCCAAAACAACCTTTTTTTGGATACCTTTCGGCAAGCATGCCAAACCACCACAACAGACCTCTCGCGAACCAACTACCATCTTTTCAAGCACTTCTATAACTTTCTCACTGCTAGAATCTTCGGCAATTAGGACGAGGAAAAAACTGCTTTCGTCAACTTCATCGAATCCCTAGCACCCAATTTTTATGCTAATGTCGATAATCAACTTGTGTTATGTTGGCAAAAGTGCACTGATTCAAATGACGCCTATTTTGATTAGATTGGATATGTATTCACTGAGATATTACAGTTTTAAGCATTTTTTTTATTAAAAATATAACAGCGTACAGTTCAACATAGTTAAGACACTATAAATATAAAATATGTTGTTATTCTCCCTAATCAGCAAAAATGCTGGTNAAAATATCTGGTCGAGGCGGGAATCGAACCCACGGCCTTCCGATCGTGAGTCGGGCGCAATACCACTGCGGCCGGGCTTTGATGGCATTGATTCCAAAAAAATTTATGTATGCCCCTAATTTTTTGTATCTACTTTTGAGTTCGTTTTCTTAGTTAATCTTGTTTATATGTAACACCAACTAAAATGTCTCAAATGTCGAGGTTAACGTCGGCAGATCCAGTGTACCTCCACCTTACCACCGAAATATACAGGAGGTGATTCCAAGGAACATCAGGCGTTGTCATTCAAATCCCCGATGAGAACCTCTGCACCGATTCCAGGTGTAGTTAATATACAAAGTAAATCTATCAACAAAAAATCTCATAAAATACCAGAAGAGAAGAAACACTGTAGAATTCATCAAGCCCCAACAGTTCATGGATTTATCATCAATCCATATGTCAATGAAATGAACAACTCCATAGACACTAAAAGAAAGGAATTAATTAAAAAATTGAGAAATAGATTTGAAAACAATTTCAATGTAGATACCACAGCTGTCTTTTCCGTGTCAGTTGACACGTCAAGAAGAGTACTTCGACCACACCTCTGAAAATGACTGCAGTTGAAACCTTTGGAGATTATAACCAAAGAAGGCCACGGCAAAACCTGGAAATCAATCAAAACAGAGAAAAGTGTTTTTAGTATAATTCAGCGTTCATATAAAAGTATTTGTTTCTAAAGTATTTTTCTTTCGTGTAATTCAATGTTTATATGAAAATAGCAGTTTTAGAGAGCTTATTCTTCCAGTTTGTGTGTGAACGTTGCATGATCTACACATCGTTGTATAGAGTTAATTTTTTGGAATTGATTGCTTCCTTCCTTTGGAAGATTCCCGCAGATGGAGAAAGAGAAGGCCAAAAACTTTATTTCCCATAATAAAAAGCTATGAATTTTGCATTGAGATGCATTATATAGCTGCCAATTGGAAATTCCCAGACTGAACAAGGATCACTCCCTTACTGACAGTTATTGTCCGATTATCCACCTGCCTGTAATTGGTAAAAATTTTGAAAAAAATTAACGAACTCGTTTACTATAACTGCTAAATGATGAAATTCCAAGCTACCAGTTTGGATTTAGGCAAGGAAAATATACTATGCATCCTCTCACGAACAACAACAAGCTGAACAACAATAAAACGGCAGCGATCTTTCTGGATATCAACAAAGCTTTGAATAGCATTTGGCACAAGGGTCTTTTATTTAAACTGCATCAATTGGGATGTCCTAACTATCTTATACATACAATCAAGAATCTTCTAATTGACAAGAAGCTGAGAGTTAAAATACTTAATAATTTTACACACGAATTTACTCCAGAGTAGAAAGTTCCACAGGGTTCACAGCTCTAACCATTGTTATATAACTTATACAGCTCTGATATTCATTATCACCAACAAGGAAATATCAATCACTTCAGGCATGAGGCATATGCAGATGACACCATCCTAATTTCTCGCGATCAAACGCTAGACAAAGTGATTTACAATTTAAAATAGCTTGCAACAACAAATAACTGGTTCAATAAATGGAGGCTCCAGCCAAACCCATCATAAGTCTCAGTTCATCGTATTTAATCATCAGAATTCTGCAACTACTCCAATAATCAACGTTTACCAACACATGTTACATGCAAAATCGACAGTTAATTACCTTGGTGTTATGCTTGATTCCAAACTAAATTTCAACAGCCACGTCAGTAATAAAAAAAAAGAAAGTGATTGCAAGAGCCGCACTTTTCACAAGTTCAACAAACCCGGGAGCATGTGCAAGCATATCAATAACAAGACGAGTATACAAACTAATCACTAATCTGTCATTTACCTATTGAATACTCGCACCCACTGTTTCTCAATATCAAATAAGGGGCCTTGAAAACAATTAAATCATCTGAAACAACGGCCAACAGAAAAATAACAAGATTAAGGCATCCCAATAACCCCAAACACAACCCTCCAAACCCTTTGTTGTACCAACTCACTGGTATCATCCCTATTGAGGAAAGACTACCGCTTCTAACTCAGAAGTTTGCTGGAAAAGACGACAATGTAGAAATCATTAGAAAGAATGCTGTGACAAGAAACCCCAATGCAAGAGTACATTTCCAATGTTCAATAATGTAGTTACCATGTGGGCCGGATGTTAGATATTTAAAAAAGATAGAGACAATTCGAAAAATTAATGATGGACGACACCTTATTTTGTTTCCGGAAATCTTCTTGTCCTCTGGTTTCTCTTCCTATTATTTGAACGTGGGGTACCCGGATAGCGATCTAGAAGGATGCTGTTTGGGCGGTAGATATTTATATTTTTCACTTCTCAAAACATTTAGCAAAACACACTTCTTGCTTGTTCGTTTTTCCATTCACGACTGTCTTTCGATCTCCGCGCGTGCGTATAAGGCCGGTGTCACCAATGATGAAATTATAACAATAATAATAATAACCTTACCTGAACCCATATACATTGAGACGTGAATACCGAACAGCGACCCAATAGAAACAGTGTTAGCATTATCAATGAAATTATTTCAGTTTTTTTATATTCATATGAGACTTTTTTTATTTGTGTGTAATTATGTAATTTTAAAGCAATTTTGTTACAAGGGCGGAAGGACTTCGGTTGATAACCAGTTGAGCAGAATTGTGATTTTGTTTAGTAAACTACAATTATTATTATTTTGGAAAATAATATTTCATACCTTCGAGTTAATGTTTTTTTAAAGCCAATAATATTTTTTCAAATAACTTTTTCATAACTTGTGAATATGTCCAAATGCTGTAGATTTTCACTATTTTTGTCAGCTACTGCTCCCATGTATTACGTTCATGCTTTTCCAAAGAAAAATAAAGTGTTTTATTATTATTATTATTTTAGTAATGTGTCGTCTCTGGAGGAATACGCCGCCTACCAGTCCACAGATTACTGTCAGTGTTGCATCTCGCCCAAGAAAAAAGCAGCCGAGCCGGCGGCTGTCGAACCCAGAAGGAAAAGAAATAAGCCGTTGGTACCAGAAGATCCCGTCAACGATCCTATCAAAGACGATAGTACTACTCCGACTCCCCCGCCTGTCGTCGCGACACCCTCAAGCGCTACGATAGCCTCCGCTCTAGAGAATGTGTCTACGCCGCCTCCGGCTAAAGCGCCCAAAGCGCTGCAGAAGGGTGGACCTCGGAGGAAGGGTCACGTGCCCGCCAACGCTGCATTCAGGGCTGTGGGGCCTGGCCACACACCGAGACCGAGGATTCAGGTGGTGCAACAGGAACAAGGTGTGTAGTAGTAGTAGTGTTTGTTTTATTTACTCCTCAGCGCCTATATTTCATATAAAAATGTTATGATTTACTCGAAAACTAAGGCCATTCATTACTTTAATGGCCTGAGTTGATTAAAGTTGTGTCGTTGGCAAACAAGTCACATTTATTGGGATACAAAACAAAAATATCATTTATATAGTAGCGGTCAAAGAACAAAACCTTGGTGTACTCTGTGGACGACTTGCATATATTCAGAGGTACTGTCTCCATAACAGATTCATTGGTAGCATTGCTTCAGAAATGACCCGATGAGTGACATTGCAGTTCTTGTAAAGCCACCATCATTGTTTTATTGGGTTGTTTCAAAAGTTTTATCCCTTTTAATGTTATGTGTTTCTATAGCTCCAAATATCTCCATAAATATTTATTCAACTGTGTCGTAGTGTATACAGATCGATACAGAATTTTGTACTCTACACATTGATGCTGTTCATTTTTTTCCAAATTTAACTTTTTTGAGTCTTTTCAGCTTATGTGATGTCTTCAAGCGACTTTCGGACAATTTATCTGTACGAATACAAATTGAACCAAAGCGCCGCTAAAACAGCGCAAAAAATTAACGAGGCATTTGGCAATGGTAGTGTGAATGAACGCACCGTTCGACGTTGGTTTGCAAAATTTCGTTCAGGAGATTTTAGCCTCGAAGATGAGCCCCGAAGTGGTCGACCTACAGTAATCCAGGACGAGGCTTTGAGGAGCCTGATGGAGACAGACCCATCACAAACGGTGCGAGGGATGGCGAAAGAACTGGGCGTCAGCCCCCATGCTGTTTTTGACGGCTTAAATCGTATTGGAAAGCGTTCCTCAGACCTCCGGCGCTCCGCTCCCTCCGCCCAAACGTTCCTCAGATAAAGCACGAGTGGTTCGAGAAGACGATCCGCGCCACCACCAGAGTTAACTCCAAACTCTCGTACATACTGACGCACCTGAACAGGTTTCAGGCAAGTGCCTGCCATCGTCAAAGGACTGGCCGTCGTCCACAACAAGTTGCAGGAGATCCTCAGCCAGTGAGTAGTTTTTTTCTATAGTTGACCTTCCAATAATGTGTTCATTCAGTTTTTTCAGAGAAAATCTTTTACAATTCTGTCTTAATTTGGGTTTTTGGGATGAGTTATATACCTACCAGCAACTTATTAATGTTATACACAATTTCAACATTTTTTGTAACCAGTTCACCAGTGTCTTATGCCTTTTCGAAAATAGAAAATCTTGTAGCAAATAAAACATTAATTTATGAAAGTTGACTATGCTATCCCAGCATTGCCAGACTATCATAATTTAGTTATCGAGCAACTCAAGCAAAATTGTCTTATTTTGGGAAAGAAAGTTTTTGGCTTTCTATTACTCCATCTTGATACAAAAAATAAGGATGAGGGAGTCTTCCAAAGAAAGGAAGGAAGTAACTCTATACATGGATGTGTAGATCATGCAAAGAAGTAACTTTCAAGGAGATGTAATTGCTGTTTATTACTACTACTCTAGTGTTAGATTCGAATTTCACGCAAATTAATACATATATTAGCATATAATACACTTAGTGCTGAAGAACCAATCCATCTCAATGAATCTATAATTGATTTTTAATATTTTGTAGGAATCTAAAGCATCTGCTTCTCTACGAAACCTTATCCGCCGTAGCAGGCTTCTGCGGCAACATCCGCAGCGCAAGACGACGTCGAATTCATCAGTCCGGCGAATATCCCGTACCTTACCAAATAATCTTCTGCTTTTCCGAACACTTTGAATTAGAGACCCAGCGGCATGAATAGATCTGGGCCCAGCGTTGTACCTAAACCTTAGAGCGGGGCTGAAACCCCGATTGAGCGGTGTTTTTAGAAATACTCTGGCTAAAAATGATTAGGTAATTTTTTTATTTATTTATTCACAGCAGATTGTGCTACATCATGTTATTTGTAAATAACGTCTTTTATTACTCTAGAATGAGAGGCAGTTTAGAAAACGCTGTGCATGTACAGAAAAAACTATTTTTGGAATGGGCGTGAGAGGGAAAGCAAAAAGTGCAAGTGATGCTGTGGTGTGGCGTAGTGTAGAGATTATAAAACTGTCACTGACCAAGTTGGAACTTATAACATGCAATTTCCATAATTTTAATTGTCCAAATAATGAATTATATGAAGCTGTGGGTTTTTTTACTAATTGTACCTCTCCCAACTTTCAGTTCTCATATCCTTTCTTTTGCTGCTACTACATCTAAACGAATATTCCTTTTTGTTCACCAGGTTAACGGACCAAAGACATTTCTCAGAATCAAGTCTTTCTCGGCCTTGCAGAATGTCCCATCCGAATGCATAACAATATCGGATGACCTGGTTCCAGAAGAGAAGAGACCCCATATCTTGAAGGTGACGTTAGACGGATGTTAGTGAATTTTTCAAGAAATAATGGATTTGAAGGTTTGCTGAAGAGCAGGAGTTGCTGTAAATAAAGCTTTCCATTGTCATTGATTGTTTTGCTTGGGAATAGTGCGTTTTTATTGGGCGATAAATTACTGGTTTCAGTTTTTGATATATTTCTCATGTTTTTTTTCTTTTTTGCTATTAGTCTTATATTAGGTGTACACTCTGTAATACTCATGTACTTTGTTTAGGCGATTTCATTAGAGATATCCTTCATAAGTTATAGAAAAAATTATTTGTATTGTAAATATTTTGGACACCAGATTTGAGGTTTAGAGTTGTTGAACTACATTGTCAATACACACCTTTTGAACGTGTCATTTCAACAACTCTAAACCTCAAACCCGGTATCCCAAAAGGCTCTATATTAGGACTACTTTTGTTTTCTTCATATACCTCAACAATTCTGAAATCTCTTGAACATTGCACTGCTCACTGCTATGCCAACGGTACACAGATTTATTATAGTTTTTATCCAGGGGATGTAGAAAAAGTCTGTAATTTCATTAATGAAGATCTTCACAACTCCATACAAAAAGCATCAAACCATTGTCTTCAGATAAATTCTAGTAAATCTAACATAATTTTATTTGGTCTAAAAAACAATTTATCGTTTTCTCAAGATATTAAAATTACTGTTGCCTCAGGCTGCTACTCGCTGAGTCAACTATACAGAACTAGGCTTTGTCCATTCAACAGTAGCCTATTTTGCTCTTATTGATTCCTATATTAGCTACGGAATTAAGATAGACTGTAATTTAAAATTCGGATAACAAATAAATAAACTTGTTCTTATTATCCCTGAAAACATACGGGACCAGGCATTTTTCAACGAGAGATATTAAACTACTTTGTGAATCGTTGGTATTGTCTATTTTTAATTTTGCCGAATACGTTTACAGCCGCCCTAATATGTATCAAAAGTTGTGTTCAAAAGTACAAAAAGTTCAAAACTCTTGTGTAATCTAAAGAAATGAACTTTGAACGTTCAAGCCAGTCTCAAATATACCTACACAGTAGGTTAAATGGACTGACGCCTATCAGTAAACAACTACTCCTTTGGCTAATACCACGAAGGGCGTTTGATTATATCCGACAGGCGTCAGTGCAGAAATCTTCACAGAAAATTTCCTGCATCTGCAATACAACTGAAAAAGTGAACCCTCATTTTTGGAACGAGCACACTTGCAGACCAGTTTCGGGCTCATTAGCCACTCATCAGTGCAAGATAGTGGCCTTCATCAACCTAAAGTCAATGATATTCCATAATTGAAAATCTGAATTCTTTCAGAGTATTTCATTCCTCTTCCTAAGTTAGAGCGAACAACAAAATGTCACTCCATCTAGTGGTCGAGGTACTAACCAACTGCATATCCGTAATTTGCCCGATTCCTCTGAATAAGATATGCAGGAAATTTTCTGTGAAGATTCCTGCACTGACGCCTGTCGGATATAATCCAACGCCCTTCGTGGTATTAGCCAAGGGAGTAGTTGTTTACTGATAGGCGTTAGTCCATTCAACCTACTGTGTAGGTATATTCGAGACTGACTTGAACGTTTGAAGTTCATTTTTTTAGATTTGTTTACTGCCAGTCTTCAAGCATAGCCCACTGACTAATGAGAAAAACTCTTGTGTAAGACTTGGAATTTATAGATACGAAATAATTTAGAATAAACTAATTACTGTTGTTGCTTGTTTTTTCCACAAAATTATAATTATAGTCGAAGTAACCGATATAGTAATCTTAAAGAAAGCTATCGGCGAACTCAAAGCCCAAAAAAAAACAACACATAGAACTAATGCCGCTGGGAATTAGTCCACGTGAACTAAAGAATTGGCGGTTCGTATTGGATAATTTTTACTAACCGAGTTTTATGATTGGCTGAAAAGTCATAAAATTAACTTTGAAGTCATGTTACGGCGACGAATAGAATGCGAGCCGTCGTGTTGCCAATGTTCAGTTCAGGAACTGATCGCGATTTGAGTGTTGAAATTCGATATTGGTGAAGTTATAATTACTTGAAATTTTTGTTATTTGTTTAAAATGTGGCGTCCTTGGACAAGTACTAATAGTAATAACGAGTGTGATAATATAGCAGACTTTTTCCTGTGTAGTGATTCCAATAGCGCTGGTGAACAATGCGAAAAAGAGATACCAGTGAATAGAATTCGGATGCATTTGAATATTGAAACACAGAGATTATGTTTCAATGTATATAAGAATCTACATATTAAGTTTGGTTTTAAGGGAAAAAACTATTACAAGCAACATCATATTTGACCGAAATTCCTTTCTCAACTGCACGTTAAATAGTCAAAAACAAACCTTATGAACACAAGACGCGATTTGATGCGGGATTACCAAAACCTTTAGATGTTCATCTAATAAAATCATTAAAAAAACAATATACACCTGTTACAAAAGCAATAAAATTTCTACAATTGAAATCATAAGAAAGAAATTGAATACTTCCGGTCATAACGTGAGCTGTTGTGACAAAACTCTTCAGAATTGGATAAAGAAACTAGGATTTATATTTAAAATGAAAAACAAACGTCAAACAGTTATGGAAAGCAGAAGAATAGTGGAATTGCCTAACAAATACTTAGAACAAATAACTAAATATAGACAAGAACAACGGCAAATTTTCTATTTGGACGAAACTTGGTATGACACTCACGACACCGTTACAAAATGGTGGACTTATGGTTCGAAAATGTGTACGCCTAACATGCCTGCCAACAAAGGATCGCGACTAATCATTGTGCATTGCGGAGGAAGTAAAGGATGGGTTCCGAATTCTTTGAAATAATGTGGAAAAAACCTTGAGGGGTGCAATGTTGACTATCATAAGAACATGGAAGCTGATATTTTTGAGGAGTGGTTTGAAAACACATTGATTCCAATTTTGGATAGGAATAGTGTAATAGTTCTTGACAACGCTTCCTATCATTCGCCACAGCTCATCAAAGTACCGAATAAAAATTCGAGGAAAGATGAAATACAAAGTTTTTTAATGGATAACAATTTGTATTTTGAAGATAACTATACCAAAAACCAACTACTTGAAGTTTTACAGACAAAAACATTTGAAAAAGTGTATGCCCTTGAGAGTATTGCTGAAAAGTATGGACACACCATATTGAGACTTCCCCTCTATTTTAGTGTTTTCAATCCCATTGAGTTGATTTGGGGAAAATTGAAACCAAGCATCAGGCGTAAAAATAATTTTCCAAAATTTGATAAGAAGGTGATAGAGCTAGTTAAAGAAGAAGTATATAATATTACCGAAGAAGACTGGCAGAAAGGGATTAAAAAAGTAATTTCAGTTGAAAAATACTATTTGGAAATTGGACACTTCCATATCAATGGTGTTAATAAATTCATTATTGATTTAAATGCCGACAGTCATAGTGAAACGGAGAATATGGAAGAGGAATTATCAGAAGCTTTCGGAGAAAGTTAGTGAAGTGTTTTTGAAGCGATCGATTGTATATATATATATATAAGCAGTAAATTTAATCACGAGCAGCTCGTCACACGTTACAGGGTGAAAACAGTTTCTAAATTATGGTCTGTATTTTTTAATTTCTCAAAATTTCTCAGAAACGGTCAGTTTTAAGTATAGGAAATATAGTAGTAACTCACCTTTATTTTGTCTATAGTATCCAAAAATATAACAAAATACAGGGTGTTCCATAAAAAAATATAACTTTGGTATGTAACTTTTTTGGGATATATACCTATACAGTGTATATATATACAGTGTCACGCATGAAATTCACGACATTATAGATTTTTTTTTATTTATGGACATAATGAAAATTTAACTTCGCAGTTAGTTTGTGCTTGAAAAATGATTAGGTACTGACATATTAACGTCCATACATTGGAGATCCGAATCAGTTTAACAATGAAATGAAAAAACTAAATGAAATTTGCAATAACACGAATTTCTGGAGGTGTATTTATAACACGAATTTCTGGAGGTGTATTTATTTCTTTTTCTGGTAACAGAGGCCAATGCGGATATTTTCTGGGCAAGATATGACATTCATCAAAGTCGTCTTCGGGTGACGATTGTAGATACTGACAATCGAAACGTCGTGAAGTAACTTGGCTTGAAATGTCTTAATTTTTGTTTAATTGTTCCATTTTTTATTTGTATTTTATTTCACTGTAATTTCATATCGGGGTTATTTTGCTTATTAATATAATTGTTATTTTCAGCTATTGTTTTTAATTCTTTATTTGTATTGGTTCTTTCAGAGATTTCATATCATTTTATATAATACTAGTACTACCTATGTTGCTGTATCGCTGCTGTTCCAAGTTCCAATGTTTTGACAGACTCAGAATCAACGAACTTAGGCGTGCGCAGCGTTATAGAACAGTGCTTTCAAAAAATTGTTCTACAGCGCCATCTAGTGGCGAGTTACAGAAAAATTGATAACCTAAAAACCTTCTCTATGAAAAATTACTTATACATGTCAAGTTTCATCACGATCGGTCGAGCGATGTAGAAGTTTATCACTTACCAACCAACCAACAAACATCCATTTTTATATATTAGAATAGACAATGGAAGTCCAAACTAATGAAATTTACTCCTACTTTGAGTCATGGCGATAATTAATGTTTTCCTGAGTTTAACGTTCGAACTATAAAACCTAGATGTCACTATATTTGAAAAAAAAATACAGTAACACATCTACGTCAGACGTCAACGTCAACAATTGGAGGTTGAAGGGAGAAAATTAAATGTCAAGGATAAAGGATACCATTTTTCAGTTGAAGTAGGTAAATAAAGTAAAGTGTAATAGACCTAAATACCACCCTCAAGAGATAATTGGTATAGTTCTTCGCTTCTACATGACCTCTAACGATAAAGAAGTAGGTTAGCAAAAATAATTTCAAAAATATGGGTTGCTGCTATAGTTTCTTTTGCAAAGATGATAATTCCTCACAGGTTAGTATTTGTTGAAAATGAATCTGCTGGAATACCTTAATGCGAATTTCCAGGGTGGTGAACCTAATGAGAGGACACGTTTGCTTGTAGATCCAGTGTCTAACAATGCCCACATACAAAGAGTTAATAGGTATTAATAAGTGTCATTGTTTCTGTCAGTTTGATAAACATAAATTTTGATTTATAGTGAGGAAATTCTGAACAAAAATTCGCACGCCTCACCTAAGAAGACTGATGAGCAATCTGCACTAAATAGAATACTACAAGAAACAGCAACGTAAGTACTAAACATGCAATTCCCATTCATTTTGTCATTAAGTCAATTCATAAATATTCTTCATATCTAGAACTCGAGGATATACTCCAACTCCAAATATTTCTTGAGAATTTGCAGGTAAATATGCATTTCTCCAAGTTTTTATGAAATAATACGTATATTGAATAGAACAAAATCCAGGCTGGTGGGCCGTGGTCGAATGGATCCTGAAGTACCAGCCCGGTACACCTGGACTTGTACTTCAGATTCAAATACACCCATATATCTAGACATATGTATTTCTCGACGTTTCAATTCGAAAAATCCTCATCAAAATTCACTGAAACATTTCTTTCAATTAAAGCTCAGTTTTGTTTGCTTTCACAGGAAGGCATGAAAAATTTTATACTACTATAAATAAATAGAAGGAGAATATGGTTAACAATGGAAACAATAGCTATAGTTTTGTTTGTCAAAAAACAGAAGAGAAAGGCATTTATGTTTCATGAAAATTAGTTTTTAAATGGTACCTAGACCTAAATCCTGGTTGCATCCTCGATCAAAGTAAATAAGCCTTAAAATCATGAGAAAACATCCAGTAACATACAAAGTACATACAAAATAAGAATAGAACCAGTCCTTGACAGATATTTAGAACAGTAAAATTATTGAGTCCAATATGTACTGATCTGATATCGTCTATTCTTGTACAGTGATAAAAATGTGCATACAGATAAACATCTAATTGATAATTTGGCTACATGAATAAGGTTACCAAGTTATCCATTTATTTATTTCTCATCTAAGATAGATGACACAGATCATATTATTGACCTTGGTCCTGAAGAAATACTCATTGAATAATGACATACAAAATGAACATTTCCAGAGGCCAATCTCTCATCGCCAATTCTTTGAAATTATCCTGTGTTTCTTCAAGTAATACAAAAAGTTGAGAAAACTGTTTTTAAACTTGTTTCATAAACTCCAATGTCAAGTTGAGGTACAAATTCTGCAGTATTTTGTATAATCCCGCTTATCTGGTTGAAAGGAACAATGTCAGTATAAGTAATTATCTTGAATCAGTTGATGAATCTAGACGATGTATAGTACGAAATATACAAAGTATGTATTTATTTATTAAGAATATTTATGTATTAGATGTGGTTTCTTTATAATGTAAAACGTAGTTTGTTTTTCAGAGGAAAAAATATATCTCTAATTTTTTTGAATTTTTATGGGAATCCATGCTTCTGCAAGTTCATGAAAAATATTAGTGCATTTGAAGGCTATTAAGTAGATTGACTCATACACAACATTTACTTTCTCTGTGTCAAAATCTGTGATACTCGAATATAAGTTTCAAGTAGTACATATTTTTTGACTTATTTTTATTGTTTTCTATAACACCCATGAGTTTCGATTGAGCACTGTTTTTATTATGTTATTTGTGCTTTTTTCCTTGTCAGAGTCATCTTATGAGTTATACAAGATGTATTTTTTTTTAGTACTCCAATTTTCATAATTTTGGCTATTTCACGTAAATTATTTACTGAATTGAATATATTGGCAAAAAATTCAGGATTCTATCTTTTGAAATATTAGTTGAAGGAATTTATCATTTATATAACAACCATTCATGTTGAGTTGTTGCAATAAATTTATAATCAATATTGTTTGTTTCTTATAATTTTCTGGTAATACTGTACAATCAGCGAATTCCCGAATGATTCTATTTCAGAAATGTTATCGATGTAGCAGCTCTTGATTCACACAATTTACAACAGCACGAATATTTAGAGAGGATGAAAATCTACAGCCTAAGGACACATCAAGTTCTTGGAAATAACAGATACAAATTAAGTTCTAGGCCAAAATCGATTTTAGAAGATATACCGAACCCAGAGGTGGTACTTAATTCGGAACCAATTAATTTTGATGATCTAAATGTGGTGGGTAAAATTTTTTTTTTTCGTACCCTAAAGTTGAATGAATCTTATCACCTAATTTTTGTTACAGTTTAAAAAATCTGTTGCAGCCGCAGCTGCGGCTATCAATGACATCAAAGTGGACCACAAAGAAGATTTGGTGGTGCCTTTTGGTCTCAACTAGATCGCGAGTCTGGTTCATTATATTCATGAAATTATTTACTGTAAATACAAATCTCCGACTCTCTTAGAATAAGTTAAACTCCCCTGAAACCTTATACTTTATGTTTTTGAGTATTTCAAGTTACTGTGTTATATTTTAGAGATTTATTTTGTAATCGTAAATAAGGTTTCTGCTAGTGATAATTATACTGATATATTGATAGCGATGTGAATTCTTTTCATTTCTGTTTTTTAAACAGAATAAACCTTCAACTGCCATATAGCGATAAAATACTTATAATTTCACAAATATAAAGTTATAATTACGAAAATACTCAGCTTATTCAGAAGTTAGTGTTTTTGGTTTTTATTTTTGCAAAAGATGTGTTTATATGTATAAAGCATCCGTAGGATACAAAAGATGAGTACTTTCTGAAGCAGCTTTCTCATCAACAGAAAAGTTACTGGTAGAATGTTGAAAAATTAGTGCTTGATATATCCTTATATCATACTGAACTACGAGAAGATGTACAAGTCCAAATCATGAAGGCTGGACGTGAATAGATCGGGAATGTTTTATGTAGTGATCGCACAGGATTGATTTTTATCCATTATGAGTTCCAGGAATGCAGGTTGATTTACCTAATAATAAACCCTTGAATAACAATATAAAAGAATCGGTGGGCATTACTATTGGTTCAAAAGCATATCTTGTCTTGAAGACCATCTCACAAAATATTGAATATTGTCACATAGAAAAGCAGCATCTGATACAGAACACTAACATGGTATCATCATGAAGAATGCACAAGAAAATCGATCCATCTGAAATCAACTTCAGTAAAGGTTTTATGCTTGTTCTAGGTCAAAATCCCATGCTTTTTCTTATAGTGCTTCATTTTGCAAAATTTCAGTTCTCCGAACGGAACCTTGAGGAACACTCGAGGTGAATTGTCGGTGAGGAAGGCCCTCGGTAATCAGGAAAAAGTGAGTAAACCTGGAGATGGGGGTTGAATAATAGTGATGATTCAAAAATATTAAACAAAAAAAAAAGGAAAAGCAGGTTGTGAAACGACTGTAATATCAATATTGGGCGTGGAAGGGACTTTGAGTATATTGCGATCTGACGTAGGCATTTATACTGAGAGCTGACATGTCAGAAGGGCACTAAGCATTTATAATAATAGTTAGATTGTCACGTGCAGCACATCAAATGAAAGAGGGAGGAATATAGAATTCATTGACAAAGAAAAAACAAGTTCAATTTCATCTGATACGACCACCCCAAACAATATTCACTCACTTCATCCTAATGGCCGAGGACCTTCCTAGCCGAAAATTTACCTCTAGTTTTCCGCAAGGTTCCGTTCGGAAATCTGAAATTCTGCAAAATGAAGCACCATTATAAAAAACATGGGATTTTGAGCTAGAACCAACATAGTATCGTCACCAACTTCATTTAAATTAAAGAAACACCCAGTTTTCTTTTTGTGTAATTCTTTTCAATCACTCAAGTATATTTAAAAAACAAAACAGTCACTAATTGATTTTCCAAGCGAAATATGTTATGAATACTCTCTAATATAATGTTTCGATGAGAAAAACCCCTCATCAAAATCTGTAAAGACTGATTGTGACTAATCGTAAAAACCTTTCCGAAAAACATTCATGATATGAGATTAATCTAGGGTGTCAGTTGGTTCACCTCGTGTTTCGAAAATGAAAAATAATTTGTGTTGATGCAATAGAATAAATGAAATTTGTAAAGTCCAATCAGATTTCCGAAATCTAAACACTAGTATATAGAGATCAATATAGGACCCCTATCTGTTCCTATTTTGGTAAACCAGGTGTAAAATTATTTCATAAGATTGACTTCTCAATAAAGACGAAAGGTCAAGATGTAATAACAGCTGAAATTCAAGTGCAAGACGTTTATTTACATTTGGTTGGCACCCTTGAAGTGACGGAACCCTTTTAACATTTTAAAATAGAATGATGGTGCACTCACAATACCTTTGTTACCAACAATTTCAAGAATCATTTGGAATAACATTTTTGATTTCCATAATATAGGCACATGGGATAACTTCTCAAGTTCTTTACATCTATGTTGGTACATTTATACAGGGTCATTTCACATTAATCCATCAGGACTGAACAACGCCGATTCCCACTCTATATAAACACAAAATAATGAAATACTTGAAAAATGTGAGAAAGTAACACCAATTTTTCATTGGTAACACCAATATGAAATTTTCGTATAATTTTGAAGGACTTGATTAAAAACTCCTTAGTAATCATCTCCTGATTATGTCAAATAGAACTTGAAACGCGCGTCGAGAAAAGTATTCTATTTCTGGTGTGTGGAAGCAGTGTGTTGAGTTCATTCCATACCAGAGATCCCAGTTTTACCTCTGAATTTGACCAAACTGTTGATTCCACCTTTATTTATATAACCTAAGTCACTTTTGCAATAGATATTAGGAGCAGGAAACATTTTTTTTTCAACTATTAATAAGGTTTATTAGAAAGTATATTTAATTAATCAATACACTCTCAACACTGAGTTTGATTCAATTGATTGAGACGAATGAACGTCATATTACATCAAATCTGTATATTAATAGGTTATCTGTACAAACATTTTTTTGAATAAAACTAAAACATAAATAAAAAATCTCATTCCTTTGGCTTTGTCGATACAAGGGTCAAATTACTGTGCACTGCTTCGGTAACAGCTTTCGTAGTTTCCAAAATAACAACTTTGGAACTGGGATCATGAAAGAAGTATAACTTGAATCCTGCTGCCAACAATAAGTGACAAAAAATAATCCCTAAGCAGAGCAGCAACTTGTGCCTCGATAGCCTCAATGCTGGCATCAGGGTTAGCAACAGAACCGAACCCGAAATGAAAGTTCCTAACAAAACCAGAATCCACTGCATCAAACTTATCTGAATGGACCATAAAACTGAAACCGGAATATAAATGAACAAGGAGTACCCATAGACACATATCAGTTCCAGAGCTCCAGGTGACATGTCTTCATCTAATCCTTCAATGTTGTGGACCTGCATACTCCATTTCAATAAACCCCACAGTATTGAAGGAACTAAGGTAACATACAAAAATATAGTTGTGGCAGCATATGATACTAGGTGGAAGTCGTATCTCCAGTGGTAGGTTTCGTTTGCGTGTTGCAAGTAATTCGCAATGTTGCTACTAATAGCTATAGTGAATACAAGAGTGACGGAAATCCAGAAAGGTCCGTAAAGGTCTGGTTTCGCCCGTAAGTGATGTTTTAAATTGTTATCCCACTTAGGGGTGACAGAGGCAAGGATTCTATCTAAAACATCTTTAGTATCAACATCGAAAAACTTCTGGTAGTACTCCATCGACCAAAAGGATTTGGATGACCCTGAAAGAAAATATGAATATGAAAAATTGATTTTTTAACTTCTTCAAGAATATATGAGAAATATCTGACATCTGTCAAAAAAGTTGAGAAATGAAAATAATCAGCAATAGAAGAGCTTAAATTTTGTCTATTTCTGAAAACGGAGGCAGATTTTAGCCTCCAAAACGATGAGATATGTTGTATAATTTTTTACCTTTTTATTTATGGATAACTTTTTTCGAGATCAATTGCCCTAACACCAAACTGATATTTTTGCACACTTTTTATTGATAGACAAAATTATTGAATATGACAATTTACTGATGAATAGAACATTTTTATTTACGAAAAATATTTTGAATTTACGTAGTAACACATTAGGGTAAACTAAAAAGTTTGCCCTTTCTACACTTGTATTAAGTTCTCTATTACAATTATCATATTTTTCAAATGTGGAAGGTGAAAATACCCAAAGAAGGTTGATAAAGAAAAAACAGATTTTCCTCCACAAAAAATGACTTTCGTTCAATATCTGACAGTATATATGTTAGATATCTCACACAGGTTAGTTAAACGTTTAGATTACATTTCGATATATTTATTTTCTTATACGTATGTACCTCTCCCCGATAGTTTTCAGACTTGGTTTGATTTCAAATAGGAAGCTTCCAAAGAAAGTAACAATCAAGAAAATATCAACTGAACTCTTTCAATATAATTCACAAAATGTTTCCATTTTGTTTGTGATATATCAAATGCAAAATTACTTTGAGAAAATACTATACCAACTATACATCATAAAAATCCTACATATTGAAACATTATATATGTGCAAACAATAGACATTAGTATATATGTTAAATGTAAATCAAACATTAAAATATATATGAGTGGGTTGATATTAGTTTTGTTTGAATTTAATTTTAAATGATTATTATGAAACCACAATTCTGCCTTATCTTTAGATTTTTCTGATTCTTGAATAAGTTCATTTTCAATGTAAATTATAAATAAAATGACATATCTGAACCTTGTGGGACGCCTTCTTATACCATAAAATGCAAATTAAAAAAATGCTGTGAGACCCAATCAAAACATTGGAAAAGCCTCTTAGTGGAATCCAGAGTGCTTTTTTTTCTATTTTTTCTAAGAATAAACCAACATTTTTCCACACTCTAATCTTTCCAAAAAATACTTTTTTCATAAATTCTCAGAATGATTATGGTGTACCTACCTTCCTCATTGTCATTTGGCAATTGGTTAGTTCTTTGCATATTGGGGGCAATCTGAAAATCACCCCCTTCATTTTCTACAGTGACTTTAGCTTCAGATATAGGAATTGTTGTGTTGTTCCCCGAAACATGAACCGTAGGGTAGTCTTGGAAGGACAAAAGTTCCTCGGTAGGTACTTCTTGGAGATTTGTCATTGTGTAGATACAGCTTTTCAGATCAAATCAGAACATTTTGAATATTTTAGATGAAATCCAAAAAACAAGAAACATTCAACATCCCATCTTGTTGATTGCATAGATTGACAGTTCGTTTTTGACATTGATTTGACAACTATGACAGACAAGAATGACAGGTTTCGAGTCCTTGTTCCGTTTTCAAAATTGATCATCCCATAAAACATTTTCATTAACTTTTGTAACGGGTTAAATATGAAATTGATTTTAGGCAACAAATAATAACAAATGAGATACTGAGATTATACAAAATAGACAAATTCCAAAGAAATGTTTAACCAATGAATTATTGTTAATTGTTATATAACAATTATCCGAAATAGTATTAGATTTTCTTTCTTTCTTAATATATAAGTTTCTTATCGAACCTATTTCAGATAATAGAGACTGTGTACCATTAACTATAGTAAGGTTGTGAAAACAAGTGTGAAAGTTGATAATTCTGTACGGTGCTTGTCAGTTCTCAATGTCAAAACTTTCCAAAAATTCCAAAGATGAAAAAAGTGACAGAATTGAATGGAGAAGATGTAAAACGTTATAACTACCTGACAATTTATAACAAAGACTACGTAAAGAAAACTCCCAAACCGTAATATGGATGGCTGAGCCTGGAATTTGTAAATAATTTTATTCTTTGAATTGCAGTGCTAGTAAATTCACAGGAGAGCAGGAGTTCAAGGATCCGGTTAATGAAGGATTTAGGAACTATCTGGAAATTGATAAACTACATTTGGAAAAACCACTTGAAGATGGAGATGTTTTCTTAAACAAGGTTTATTATTTTTTGTTCGTACATTCTGAAAATTGTTGGTTAGAGCTGAATAATACTCTAAGTTTCTCCTGAGTAAACCTTGTCGCAAAGAAAGTCAATTTTCTCAATATTCAGTTTTAACTGATTTTGTACATATTTTTTCCAACAGAAAATTATCAAATGAGTTCTCTGAATTCCATATAATCTGAGAATGGATGACCAATAGAAAACTTCACTGACGTGAATTATATTTCCTAGGTGAAAGAAGATCGCAAGAAGATTGGAAAGATGTATTTTGAATCACCTTTGGACCACTTGACTATTAAAGGAAAAAAACTTTTAGAAGGAAAATCTATTTATCAAGTCGATTATTGCGACATAGGTATCGAACTGATTTATGTCTGTATGTTAAATATGGAGCCAAATGAATAGAGGCAGATATAGAAAAATCGAAAAAATTTAATATCGATTGAGAAAATAGAATACGGGTAGATAGGTCGTGATTGCAAGAATCTTGTAGTGAGAAATGTATCGCCTGTTTGAACTGTAACGGACATCTTCACTAGTGAAGGCTCAACTGCGAGGACAATGGATGCCCATCATTGCTGGGACTTCAAGATAAGTACTACATTAGTCCTCGCAGTCAAAACCTACACCACAGAAGCAGTAGCAGAGAAAACATTCGGTACTACAAGTTCCTTTTGACCACGGCCTATATTCTCGGATTCTGTTCTTTTTAACGTGACTCCGGCTGTGCAAGCCTATGTTTTTAAATTCAATATCATTACTTCGATGTTAACATATGTCATTCAAATACAAACGAATTCACTACATTTAATGTAATTCATCTAGAGGAAGATATTAGAAAAAAACTGAGACATGCAAGTACAGAAAAATACAGTTTACCCAAAGGCTGGCAGATTCCTCTAACAACTCATCATTGTGACTTCAGAGATCCAATGGTCCTCAGTGAAAATGCTTTAGTTCCACCGTTCATAATCAAACCAATCGGAAACCTTGGCCAAAATGGTTAGAATGTAATTTTGATATACATGAAGAAATAAAGAATAATTAATTTTCAGAAAAAATAAACGATATACTGAATGTGAAAACTGGCGATAGCGAATACAACCAGACATATGGAGAATTGGGAGGATTTATTGTGGAACAGCAAATGCACGGAAAAATTGATCATCCAAAATGTACTTGTCTGAAACATAATGCAGACAAAATATAATCAGGTTTTTCTATAATCGATGAATTGGGAAACATCTAAATGGAATTGTGTTTGTAATCAGGAATGAAATTAAATTGTGTAACGTCACTGCGATTTTCTATTAGATTCATGACAAATCATAGAATCATGAAATTTTAATAATAAACTCAACGATAACACTTTCAAAATCATGAAATTATAAAACAACAACAAAAATTAATTGGCGCTCCGGGGCGACTTCATTTTCAGCTGCAGGAAAACCCCGAAAAACCTGCAGCACCACATCATCTGAAGGAAATGAAAATCACTTTCCGTAGATTCCATAGTTTCATCTTATATGAATCAAAGGACAGTACAGACAAAAATAAATTTGAATTTTAATTTTTCTCATACACAAGCGATCTAACAGAAAATTTGCATAATTCCGGTTTGAAAAACTTGTCATAAACAATATCTTTTTTTTACATGACTATTCAGCTTTCATTTCAAAGTGTCGTCCTCCATTTTTTGAGATCTTTATTGATTAGGCTATTAAAAAACTTAATCAATGAAACACATAAATTTTTGTGTTTTTCAACTAGCTGTTCTGTTCCCTTCCTGAGTGAGTAAGATCAAAGAAAATGTCTGTACTTGCAATTTGTTGCAAAACCTATGGGATCGCGTCGTTGTATGGTCATCTGTTCACCAGGAACTTCCTGGTGAACCTTCCTGGCAGGAAGGTTTGCTTGACGAAAATTGAGCGAAATTGCTTCAGCCCATGTCAAGTTAAACATAATGAAATTTTGTTCAATGCTGTAACGTGTTGGTAATGTGAAACGTTTTGAAGACCTTTTTGCTTTTTGAACAACACAAAATTACACATGCTACGGCATTACACATACATCATAAAACACATACTTTTATATAGCACCCTTTTCTTTAAAAAAATAAAAAAAGACGACAAAACCGTTAATCATACTTGCATTCAATCAGAACGAGAGAGACAGCTACACAAACGTATGTCGAAGTACACATTCGTCCATTGATGACGTATTCCTATTGCTTGACAATTCATATTGTTGTTTTGAGAAAAGTTCATATATTATTCTGGGTTCTGTGATTCGCATTGACCGAGTATTCCACAAACGAACGAACCTCTGGTGGTATATTTACATATCGTTTAAAATTTAAATGATCAATTCAGGGCCGTAGCGAAAAGAAAAACCAGGGGGGGAGGGAGGGAATCCAAATTTTCCCAACCCCACCAGCAAAATTTCCCAACTTTCGAAGAAATGAAAGCCGAGGGATTAGTTATTACTATAATATATTAATTTTCTTACTTAGCTATCCAAAGATTGGCTGAATGCTTATGCCCGTTAGGGTATGCACAAACAAAAATAAATTTTGGTGATTATAAAAATAATAATGGGAATTATTCTACTTTGGACCAAGGTCCTTGGTCTTCCACATATCCACCATGTATAGGAATTTTCAATACAAATGAAAGGAAACAACACTTAAATAATATTGTGCTTATTGTTTTTTACTATTATTTTTTCCATCTTCACGGCCCGAATTTTCCCAACTTTTCCAAGTCGAAAAAACAGCGAAAAGTTGGGAATTTTGTAAAATTGTCACTTCAAAATTTGTGGACTGTTCAGGACTGTGTTCTTATTTGGAAGAAATTAAACTTTTTGAAGATTTCAAGCGACTCAGAATTCTCTTCAAGTTATGCATGTTGGGAAATCCCAACCTTCTCCTGGTTCTTTCCCTTTTCTTATTACCTCTCTTTTTCTTTTCTCTCATTTTTATTTTTTTTATTTTTATTCATTTTCTTACTATTAGTTTTTTTTATTTTCATGGTCCAAAATTTCCCAACTTTTTCGCAAGTCGAAAAAGCAGGGGGGGCACCCCCTATCCCCCCCCATGGCGATGGCCCTGGATCAATTAGTTAAAGGAATACGCATTGTACGTATAGATATCGCTACTGTTGAAGTTTACATAATTCAAAATATCATGATAACGTTTATCTATTGTCTGTTCAGAAATGAGACTGCAGCAGTCAGGGCCGTAGCGAAAAGAAAAACCAGGGGGGGAGGGAATTCAATTTTCCCAACCCCACCAGCAAAATTTCCCAACTTTCGAAAAATGAAAGCCGAGGGATTAGTTACTACTATAATATATTAATTTTCTTACTTAGTCATCCAAAGAATGGCTGAATGATTATGCTCGTCAGGGTATGCACAAACAAAAATAAATTTTGGTAATTATAAAAATAATAATGAGAATAATTCTACTTTAAACAAAATTAGTTTTCACCATATTTTAATTATCTTCTCATCATACAGAATGCATCAATGGAAAATTTATATTGATACCCCCAGTCCGACGCTTATTAATATTATCTTAAACGAAATACCAGAAAAAACATCGAGCGGTTCTTTTGGCGGTATTTTCGCATTCTTTGTCGGTGCTTTCGCGTTCTTTGTCGCATATCCCTATTTCAATGGCTCGTTGGCGGCGTCCTCAAGGGATATAGAGGGTAGATATATCTTAATGATTTTGTGGGTAAATTGCAGTGATATTTGCTTGAGACGACTATGTTGCTTTCTTTGATGTAGCGACATTTTTGCATTCTTGAAATTCTTTTAGTCTCAGACAATACTGAACCAACTATAATTCAACAGCTGTTTTGGAGAAAATAATTTTCTCTTGAAACTGCGCTTGAATATTCGAATATAACTTTCTGAAGAGAATGATTTTTTTCTTCAAATGTGAGTGTTTCAGGGCTCAAATAAAAATGCCAATACTTGAAGATGCACAATAATTTTTTATTTCGATAGTGAGGTAATCAATCAGGATTTGTTTAAAAGATTATACGCTACTCTACCGATGTCATATTGGTATCTCGTTAGTGGAGTGTACAACCTCGATGGACGAATGTAACCATTTACTGAAAAAAAAACAACAATTTGATATTTACATGAATTTCTACATATTATTGAACAAGTTCGAATAGTTAGTTGTGTAAAATAGTACATTCGTGGTAGTATATTAGCTATCCAGATAGCCGGTACTTTGTTTTTCGTAGGCTCATTCGACATCAACAAAAAAATTCATTTCCATTTATAAATTATCTGAAGATCTTCCCGTAGAAACCGTTCTTGAAATGGAAATGTATGTAGTGTTGTACAAGCCGTATAAGAATAACACTTGGACACAATGAAGGTACACCAAATGATACGAAAAAAATGTGATCTTCAAACGTGACACCTATGATTGATAAGTAGAACTGTAACCTCTGTTGTACATCTTTCAGATATATCTCTGACAGCTCCCACTATTGTTCAGAACAGAACATGACTGGAGTACATTCCTTGATCTATAGGCTTCTGTATCTGTAGAGCAGGGAGTGTGAATGTAGGCCCACATCACTTAGGCTACATGTGACCCATTTTACTTCCTCCCGGGGAGTTGTCCTCCTAGGTCATCGTCCATCGTTGTCCTTTCCAGGAAGGTGGGCAGGTCACTAGGAGACATCTCCTTTATATCGGCAGGTGTAGGCCAAGACTCGCCGAACTCTCTTATTGACGATAACTCCGGACAAGGATATGCCTGACAGTTTCAACTCCCTGTACACACATCCTGCATAGAGGTGTATCCACTAGCCCTATATTATAGAGGTGTTTCTTTAGTTGACAGTGGCTAGTCAGAAATCCTACTGGTAAGCGTAGATTTTTCCTGGTCATTGCCAGCTTCCTAGGGTCGCCCAGGGTGATCCTGGCAAGATTGCATCCTTTGATTCCATTTTTAGGGATCTCTAGGCTTGTTGATTGAATAAGTAAGTACCTAGCTTTCAAAACTGCTCGCATACTTCAAAAAGTACGCTTCACACATTCGATTTCGAAGACCAGAGACGTTTAGTGCCGCTTAATAAGTTCTAAAGAACGAACACAGAATATATTAGGAAACCAACACACACAGACCTGACCAAAAACTATAACCACCAGCCACAACAAAAGAGAGGGGTAATTAAAAAGTTGGTTGGGTGGATCTCAGAAAAAATACGACGTAAAACCAATATATAGGCCTACAAAAGTTATCAGAGAAAGTCTTAGGACAGCTAAGCACCCTAGACACCCCTTAGCAACACCCGGGGTATACCGTATTCCTTGTAGCTGCAGGTAGGTCTACATATGGAACCACGAAAAGAAGTGTAGGTTCCCGTCTTTCTGAACATAAGAGAAATTGTTAACTCGGACAAAACGACAAATCAGCCTCTATGCTGAACAAGCTCTCAATAAGCAGGGATACTTTCAATAGAAAAGAAAAGGCAATGAACATTACCAAAATTTGGCTACCTATGCTTGAAGGTAAATGAACAAGGTCAGGTAATCCAATTAAAAGAAACCAAGTCACGCCCACTGATAATAAAATAAAACCAAAGTCAAATACCAGCATCGTAGTTAATGCGCTCAGAACAACGAGAACAACAAATCGAGAACCAACTCGGGCACTGCGACCGTTACCACATCGCCTTTGATAATGCCTACCGCAGTAGCAGACGAAACGTCAGACATAAAAACATGCAGACTACGGCCAAAAGTTCACATTATTTGATCATATATTAGGAATGTTTGAAATAATTGAAACCGGTTCATAACAACGCATCGGAAGTCTAGACACTGGAAAACGAGAAAACAAGTTCTTTGAAAAGGTTTCATTTCCCATTAACTTTTTGTTCACTCTTTCACCTTATAATAACAGATAATAACTAGACAATCGGTAGTTAACATATAATGATCAATATATTAATACGAGTATAACAATTGGACGGCTTGACATATAATAATGAAATAACATAATGACAACTAGATGTTGTTTATGGTTTCATAGGGTTGAACAACAGATGAAACTTGATTTCCAGAAAACACTTTTTTGTCTTATCAACATTCTCGTGATAGCACTCTGATTTGATTTTAATTTTCTAACGTGTTATTAGAAAGTTTGTTTTAATATAGAAGCACATTAAAACGAGACTTATTATTTGTTTACGATTAACACCTTCCCACGTAAAATGAATGCGTCATACCTGTCGAATTAATAAAATGGTTCATAACTTCGGGAGATGCGAAAATAAATTATTAAAATTCACACTCCTCTCTTCAAAGCAAATCGTTTTCCAAGAACTCTCAGAATGTTACAGACATGATGGCGTCTTTAAAAATAATTTCCCAGGTCATCAACTAGCTTATTTACACGATTTCAAAGAAGCCGACGACACAATCATGTTTTAAAAATTATCCTCACGCCAGCCAAATTTCTTGAAAAATTCAGAGTTGTAAATAGTAGGCTGCTGTCCATCTTTCAACACAATGTTTGGTGACAAATGAAATAAAGTTGTTTATTGTCAGATTCGTGCTCTCAGAAGGTACGATATGGCTCGTACTGGTTATAATAATCACGATTTCTTTAACTTATTGATGATTTATGGCGAATGCAATAAGGTGTTAACAAGAACATGTGATGCTTATGCTACAATTTATCCAGAAAAATCGAAACCATCTCCAGATATCATTAGAAGATTAATCTTCAATTTTACGAACTTTGGATCATTTGGAAGGGAAATGATCAAAACTAATACGGTGGTTGACAATGAAAATAATGCGATTGCAGTGCTTGGGTACTTCACTGCTTTCCTAGAAGCATCTTTGAAAGATGCGGCACGAGATTTGGGATTGAATAAAATATCCATGCAGAGAATATTAGCAAAACATAAATGGGATCCGTATTCTCATACTTTAGTCCATGGCCTGAAGATATCCGAATGTGAGATAAGAATTAACTTTGCGGAGTTCTTCATTATGAAAAATCAAGAAAACGACCAATTTTTGAGAAATTTTATAAGGAGCGACGAAGCGAAATTTGCCAAAAATGGGATATTCAACAAGCGCAATTCTCACTACTGGAGCGATACAAACCCGCATTCAGTTCGGGAACGTCAATTTAAAGACCATTGGAATTTCAATGTTTACTGCGTTGTTAAAGACGACGCAATAGTGATGCTTCACTTCTATGACGAAAATTTAAATGGTTAGTTGAAAAGTATCGGAATTGTATTGTTTCATTGATTTAAAAAAATTAAAATACATCACTCAAAAAAATGGCATCCAGGTAGCTATGTAATGAACATTCATAGCATCTAGAAAATACATAACAGACCAACAGGTATTTTTATTTGCAGGTGAACGACACCTAGATATTTTAAAACATCTTGATACGGATCATTTGGAAAAACTGACGCTCGCTGACCATCGAGAAATTTGGTATCAACATGATGGAGCACCTCCACATAATCATCAGATGGTGAAGATGTATTTAGAAGAAACTTATTACGACCAGTGATTTGGAACCGATGGTCCTCAATTATGGTCACCGCGATCGCCCGATTTAATTCCAGTGAATTTTTTTATTTGGGATTATATAAAAAACGAGGTGTATTCCAACACGCCAACAACAAAAGAAGATTTTTAGCACAGAGTTCGTACTGCTTTCAACTCTAGGAGGAGACGTCAAACGGAGAAGTGTAAATTGTTTAGAAGTCGGAGGCAATGTATTTGAACACTTGTTGCAATAAAAAAATCGGTTGACAAAAGTGTCACATGTTCTTGTTTAGCATTGAAATTAAATTTGAAAATGTTGTTTATTTTAATCATGATTTTTGTCTTGAATATGGGATTATTTTTCATGAGATATTCAATGGAAACTATGCAACAAAGAAATTTTATCGGACAATATTGGTGGGTAAAAACGTAAATCCTCGCGTGATAATAACTTCTATTTTCATAATAAAATTGAACCTTGAGGAAAAAAAATGGGGGTTCCCATTTGAAAAAGTTGAGATTTTTTATTTTTCTCATTCACTTATTGGACCCTAGTTTTTGCGCATCCTGTGGATTATTCAGTGGGCGTGAAAATGATGCGTGACCCGTTCAACCTTCAATTCACGATTCACTAGCTGCATATTTTTAATAATGTTAATTTACATAAAAATGACGTATGTTCGAGAGGCTGCTGCATCTCTCACTTTTTCTAAAAAAACTCGAATAACTCGAAAACGGTTCATTTTGGGGGTATAGGAAGAATTTAAAAAATGAGGTGAAATACAGGGTGTACCATTAAAAAAAACAAAGATGACGTCACTTCCGGTGAAACCCGAAACGTCACCTCAACGAAAATATTTCAGTTGAATTCTCCATTAGCTCTTCATCTATCCTATCAATTTTCAGAATCGCCCTACTTTCAGTTTTCTATATATGGATCGCGTTAACACGTCAAGATATAGGTACCCTGTATATAACGTTAATTGTTCGGTTGAGATAATTAGAGACACTTAAATTGCCTGCAACCAACTTTGTTGACTCATGTTTCTCTATCTGGGTATCCGATTTCTGTATAGTGGCAGCTTCAGAAGATATACCTGCCAGCTGATCCCGCGAACTTTGTATGGCCCCAGAATTGATAAACAGTAGAACAATAGCTCAAAAGTCAAAGCAGGAGATCTCCTGTGAAAAAGTAGACCTAGCAATTTCTTCATCTGTGGAGGGAGGATGATTCACAATATTCCGCAGTCTAATTGCATTGTGACTTCTTGAGGGATCAAATTAAAACAACTCATTGGAAGTGTGGATTTTATGAAATTTGGACGAGTTTAGAAAATCAGTAATTGTAAGTTTTCAGTTAACTTATCGATTTGGATTTAATATATGTTGGATTTGACGAGTACTAGATTAGACTTCAAAACAGTTATGTGAAACCAGTTTTTGTATTTGAATGATTGTATTTTATATATCTTGCATAATTTTTACAATTTATATGCTATTACTTTTTTTAGAATCCTTCATTATTGGGTTTGCATTTATTTATCATCTATATTACGAATGGCTATTATAGTTATGGCTATATATCTATTTTTCCCTCTCTCTCTATGAAACTATCATCTTAAAATGATTTGGATGTTACATTGAACTGATCAGAAATTGGAACATGGGAACATTGGAAGCTGTAACATTTTCAATCCTTCGAATATTTTTTCAACAATCAAAACATTCATTTTTGTGTTTCTCTATTTCATATTGATGGAAATTACCTTGTCTTGAACTGGGTAAAGGTGGCAGAATTTTGTCTCTTTTCTTCGTATACAACACTTTGCAACTTTCTAACAATTCGTTTTCGAATGATTCGTTCTCCAATGATACTGGACTTATGGTTATGGATTGCTCTGAAAATAGGGAGGAAAAAGAATAACAACAGAAATATGATTAATTACAAAGATTCTTTTTGAATTAAACATGACTCACTTCTTGATATTTCTTTGCAATAATCAGTTTGGTACACTGACCTCATTCGCTTCAGATGCATTTGTTTTACTACCAATTTGATCTTCGAAAAATTTTCCTTTAACAAAATGAAGTTTGATGATGTTCTCTGAATGCGGAAAATGGTGGAATATTGGAATGCTATCAGAAATGAAGAAATAAACAAACAGAGAAAACTAGAAATCCGTAATAATACCTTGGGGGCCCATTACACGTTCAGTAATAATGTTATTTCCTATAAATAATGACATTAATAATAAATGTGTAAAGGTAAGAAATTGAATTAATCGTAAGTATTGAAGCGGTAATGATGGGTATCCGGATATTTTGATTTTCTAGCATCATTCTTAGCAGGGAGAGGGGATACTGTCAGTAATAATGATCGTGTAAAGTGAGGGCATCATTATTTCGTCATTACTCAGTTCAAAATTTGAAGAACAGCTGTACATATTGACGTCGGTGATATTGCAACTGAAAACTTCAAATCATCAAAGCTTCTTCCTGTGGCTATATGTATCTCAGAGTTTAGGCCAATCTTTCATTAACTGTTTCGCATAATCAATTTTTTCGTGTTGGAATTGGTTGTACCATGCGCAATAATTTATTGAAAGTGTCTTCGTCTATACGTCTATTCGTATCACTTATTTCTTTCAGTAACACTATATGTGAATAGTTTCTGCTTTTTCTAACCATTTCTTCATCCAGTAACGTCGTTTGATAGAACGGTTCATACTTGATGCAATAATTATATTACTTTATGTGTAATGGGCCCTTATATATTCAGTTGATTAAATAACATCAATAACCGAATAACATCATTTGTCTTCAAAACTTTCCTGCTTCTTTATGATTTTACGAGAAAGTGAAATGTTAAACGGTTTGAAAAAAACGTTCTTTTAAAAAACACTTGGCTAAGGAGAGATTAAAATCAACCATCATTTTCTGTTTGGACATCAGCGCTATTTTAGATGAGAGTGAAAATCGAATAATACATCTGTTTGAAATCTGTTTTTCCGTTAATCAGCTGTCGCCCCCATACGAACGATAACTCTCAGAAGTTGAGAAACTTGTGCGAGCTAAGGACTAACGAGGTCTTACCTTTTAACGTGTGATTCCTAACACATAATGAAAAGCACTTCTAATTTCCTATCAATCTAAATGTTAAAGATAAATACATTCGACCATTCAGTGATCATCGGATTTCACAAAAAGGACTATATATTTCAGTTGGAAAATTCAAACAGATTTTATGATCATAATATGATATGTTTATCAAAGAATAAATCAAAATCATATTAGTAAGTGATTAATTAAAAAGAAAACACTATTTCTGTCTGTGATATAACCTCTGTTTCAACAACTATTTTGCTAGTGTTGCCGAAAACATCATAAAGTTTCCTCCAATGTTAACTGAAGAAGGAGTTTTGAATTTTAGGAACTTTCCAATTCTTTGTAGTTTGTATTTTCTGGTTCACTTCAATGAACTCAATAGTACCGACCTATCTCGATCATATCTGGACAATTGACAAGATCCGAAGTTAATGAACGAACCGTTAGAATACAATTAAAATGCTTGAATTTCATCAGTTCGAACTGGACTTCCATTGTCTAATCATATATATAAAAATGGATGTTTGTTGGTTGGTTGGGTGGTTGGTTGGTAAGTGATAGACTTCTACATCGCTCAATCGATNTCCGAACTGATGAAATGCACCACGAAACATTGACAAGCACCTTCAAACAAAAAGCTTGAATTTTTTTGCATTGGTTTTTTTAGTCAAAACTTGTCTCTCTTATGACCCACCTTGTATAAAATCCGCATTTTGTAATACCCGATTTGCGAAATCAAAATATATAAAATTTCGGCATTTTCAAAGAGTTGTTTGTTTTTGTACCAACTCCGTGTCGTATCAGTGTATAAATTAGATCGATATAACTGTACAACGAAATAAAATCAACGATAAAATCAAAGTAACCAAGTTTCTTATTTCATTACGCTTTCGACAGATTGAATAGTTTATTTGTTTTTCAGTTCTCAAAATGAAAAATTTACTACCATCTACTCTTTTCCTGATAATTTACTTGAAGTGACTTTGAATATGTGTTTTGGATTTTCCCTCCTTGGTTTATTTCAATGGAATGCATTCTTCGAAAATGCTGTTGTTTGTAATTGATGTTCTGCTTTGGAATATAAATGCGTGTACGAAATTTTCCATGAGCGAGGTGATCAATGATGTTACGAAGCTGGTTTTCAAATATTTCAGAAATTTGAAAGAATACCCGCCAGTTGTTGTTGCAGTTGATCCTAAATATGTTCTAGAAGACTCCGTATTCAGTAAGTATTTGTCTAGACCAACTTTGAAACATGAATATACTCTCTAAGGGACAATAACAATATTTTGAAGTCAGATTTTTGATCTGATAACTTATTTGTTCCTCATAGTATCTAGAAGTGAACAGTAGAAAAACTTTCTGATTCTGAATGAGTTTTAACTCTAGTTCATCTTTGATATCTGCTATTTTTTCACTTAAACCTTCAGACAGTAGGAAAAAGTTGGTTCCTTCAATTTTTTTATTTGACACGAGAAACCTTTAGCTTCTGGAGAGAAGGATATCTGTTTTTAACAGCAGGAGAGCGATGAAATTTCCAAATTGGAATGTCTACATAACAAGATGATACTGGATGCAGCATGAACTTGGTTCAGTTTTCGACAATGAACAACTCTGTCACCTAGTCGGAACTTGTTTAGCAAAAGAGCCCATAAGTAATTTACACCTGGCTACACAAAGAAGAGCCGATGTAGTTTCCTTCAACAACAGCGTTGAATATTGAAACATCTGCCCTTTGCGTTTCTCAGGTTGAGTGGCTGATGGGTTCACTATGGCCTGCCAAAATGGGGTCTTCAACATCTCAGTCCATCGTAGTATATGAATAAACATTTTTGAAACAAAAATGATTGATTATATTTGCTGAATGGATTTTTGGAAATAATATAACATTTATTTTGTCACTTACATTATCTTCTGTGTCTACGCTATCGTCGACTTCTATCCAGCGGTCCTTATCTGTATTACAATCAGGAACATAAGAACCAGCGATGATGCTTGATGGAAAAGCAATTGAAAAATAAACACCAGAGTTTATGAAAATTACTTACGGTTTAATTCGTTCTTGTTGATGCCACCTGAAATTGTTTCTGTGGGTTGTTATAAATGCTTGTGCCATGTTTTAAGATTCATAAAATTTTAAACAAGATTCGAAAGTGAAGTTTCTAAATTTTTGCTCTCAAAGAATGACAGGATATTGACGAAGTGCCATTCTACAGTGGGTCTGACTTCCTGACCACCACTGTATTTTTTTTATTTAAATTATCACATAGTGTTTTCCAAATAAAAATACATAATTGTCGATTATATTTGGACAGGCCGCACTAGTACCATATACCACAATCAGTTAGGAAAAATATTCAGATCTACGAAATCTCTTTTACACAAGCTAAATATGTCCATTAGCTGAGAATAGAATAGAATAGAATTTTATTCATTATTGCAAAATTTTACAATTGCCTTGCATTACATAACACTTATAAAATTTTATTAGACTATATAGTCAAACGGGAGTACTAGGCTATATATAAAATATAAATAGATACATACATGTACATTACAAAAATAAAAGAAAAGCATCTTATTGACTTATATTAGGAGATTAATACACACTTTTGTTGGATTCACTTCATCTGCATATGAACTCCAGATCACGTTATCATATGATCTACGATAATTATTAGAACTCTCACTAATACAGCACTGCAATCCTCTATTCCATGTGGTCTCTAGACGCTTCTCGTATTAGCCCGTCCAGAGTAATTTAATTCTGGAAATATCTTCTTCACTTTCTGTCGTCTTCATCTGAATATTTCTCGTTGATGTATATGAAATATTTAAGAGGTTCCCAATTTCTCCTGATAATACTGGGTCTCAATATTCGTGGAACCATAAACTTTGGAGCTCTGGATAAAGACTTGGAAGTCATTTTTTCCGGCATATCCGTGGTGAGGTATATGTTATCTATTCTGGAAGAAGCATGACCTTGTTGATGTAGGGAATCATAATAGTCAACTCTCTCCTTGCAGTTTTGATTTAGGAAACTTCTATCTGTCCACTGTTGAGGAAATGTGGCTGAAATCACAGCAGGTTTGACAGAAGTACTGATTAAATCTGGGGAAGATGAAGTTTGTTGAAAATCATTGTCAGCAATTTTATCAGAACTATCTTCATCTGTTCTTTGTGTGTTTCTGAAAAATCTCACAGTTTGGCTTGGATTCAGATGATATGGTAACACTGGCGATAAGGTCGAATATGAATTGACAACTGGCCTTGGGGGATGTTGGTTTTTGAGAAAAGGGTGGTTTCCTAGGGCAGGTGGAGGTACCTCAAACATAGCTTGGGGTTGTTTGAAAGGGACTACATTGTATATATTTTTGGTAGATTCAAAAATTGGATACTGGATTGATGATTTGGTGTTGTTATTCATTTTATTCTTTCGAGGTTTATATTCAGGAAAGTTCACTAGAGGTGTACTTGGATTTGAAATGGACCCAGAGTTTTCTTGATGGTATTGAGAATGTTTCACTTGTTTTGGATTATTTTTGATGTAGATCTCATCTGGAACATCACCTCCTATGAAAGGACTCCAATTCAATGTTGGTGTTTTATTGATGTAGGGTTTGGGGATTGCATTATCCTTGCCAGTTCCTTCAACTTGATAATTTACTGCACCTTCCTTTAACCAATCATCTATATTAGCAAAGTCTTTGAAATCTGTTTTGGTATTTCCATAAACTATTTCATCTTCATGCACATTTTGATTTTTCATAGTATTAGTTTTTCGAAATTGTTTGGGGTTTGTTTTTAAAAACTCCTTTCGTTTGTGATCAAATTCTTTATTCTTCTGCAGTTTTTCCAAATGTATCTCATATATGGCTGGTACTTTTACGACCTGCAGTACCTTCGAATACTCCGATTTGCCGTCTAGATTATGGAGAACGTTTTGAATATCTCCCATATTCATGATTTCCTTCGCTTGATATTGACCTCTTCTAAATTCGTTCTTCCAAGTATCGACATGAGGATTCTGGGAGATAACTTTTCTGACAGATTCTTGCATTTCAAGGGTATCAGGAGTAGACAAATGATGCCCATTGATTCCATAGTTCTGGTTCATGGTGAGCTCATCTCCTAGTAGTTTTGATAAGTAATTTGTGGAATGATTGATTGTCATGGTACTTCGTGGAAAGCTGGATGACGAATATTCATTTCCGAACCCATATCCGGCTCCAATATTTATATCAAAAGAATCATCTGTGTTTCTCTTTTTCACTGTTTTTTCGGTGCGGACTTCATTTTGACAAAGTAAGACGAGGAGGAAAACCTGAAAAAAATGTATGAAAGAGTTGAGATGAGTCTTTGATATTGGAAGTTATACAGAAACGTAATGGAGTGGAAACAAGTATATACAAGCAAAACCTTCCATAGACACAATAATTAATAATTTTATAATTGATTCCGATGATGACTCTGAATCAAAAAGTGAATAGGACATCGAAGAAAGTGAAATTGAATAGAACATTGAATATATAAATTATATTGAATGAAATCGTGTTCAGTAATTTGATTGATGATTTATTTGAAAACTTATGAATGTTTTTCTATTTGGCTTGGATTTTTCAGAAGAATTAGATGTTTTCGATAGAAAGTTCATAATTCTACAAGTGAAAATATCAAAAGTTTTGTCTGTTTTTTTGAGTCTACTTCATACTTATTCAATCAAAATAAGAGCCATTTGAATCAGTGCATTTTTGCCAACATAACACGAGTCGATTCATCCCATCACCATAAAAATTATGTGCTCGGGATTCGATGAAAACGATGAAGGCCGTTTAACTTAGTCCTGATTGGCGATGAATCTACCGGTGAGATTGTGCTTGAAAAGATGGTAGTCGGTTAGCGAGAGGTCTGACGAGAACGTGGGTGAGGTAGAACTTCGTCGCTCAATTCATAACATTTTCTGACGGTGATTTGTAAAACGTGTGGACGGGCATTGTCATGAAGCAGGTTCGCACTTCTTCTGTTGACCGGCGTCGGCTGCTGCTAACGCAATTTTCGAAACATTTCTTCGATTTCTTCACAATAGAACTTCGCAGTGTATGCTTGGTCTGGTTGCACAAAGTTATAGGGAATCACACCAGCCGTTCATCACCATACAGTAACCGTGGTCTTTTTTGGTAGGTTTTCGTCTATGGGAAGTGCCTGGGTGGCTCATCGATGGCCAATCACTGTCCTGTACGCCTCCTGTTGTCGTAGAGGATCCACTTTTCTTCTGATACAATTTGTATAAGATTGAATATAATTAAATATACTTGATGACTTTTTTGAAACGTATATTTTGACAAGTAAACAAACTCGAATGTTTTTAAATAACAACTACAACATAGTTATATACAGTGGGCTCATCCATCATAAAGGAACAATCTTCATTCTGCAACACCCCCACTTGATGAGGAGCCCAATACAGCCCAATACTCGTGTTTTCTTCTGCTGACTGCTTTTGTTAAAGAATCTGCAACCATTTTCTCGGTGGAAACTTTCGTGACGATACTTTTTTTTATTTCTGATAGCTTCTCTGACAAAATGGTGCTGAACATCAATATGTTTAGTTCTAGCGTGATGAGAAGCATTTTTTGACAGACCTTTTGCACTCTTGTTATCGCAATATACGGTGATTGGATACTTTGTCTCAGTTAGTTGAATTTCTTCAATAATTTGATGCAACCTCTGAGCTTCTTGTGTTGCATGAGAAAGCACAACGTACTCCGCTTCAGTTGTAGATTTTGCAACGGTTTGTTGTTTTCTACTCAACCAGTTGATCACGCCATTTGCGAATTTGAAAATATATCCACTGGTTGATTTCCTATCATCTCTGTCATCTGTATAATCAACATCTACTATCTTCACCGCTCAAACAAATGAGTTTCATATTTTTTGTACCTTGAAGATATCTAAAAATTCTTTTGACAGCTGTCCAATGTTCTGGTCCTGGGTTTGAGTCGAATTTGCTCAGAGCTCCCACTGCAAATGCTTTATCAGGTCTAGTAGATTGAGCAGCATATAATACACTTCTAATAGCCATTTGGTATGGCACTTCTTCATCATCTCATTTTTTTCAACATTTGAAGGATACATGAACAGGCTGAGTTTTTTGCCAACTTCCAAAGGTGTTTAAACTGGTTCGCACTCAGTCATGTTGAATTTCTGCAAAATTTGGTTAATATAAGCTTCCTGATCCAAAAATATTTGCCCAGACTGTCTGTTTCTTGTGATATGAATACTCAGACAGTAAGTGGCTTCACCAAGGTCCTTCATTTCAAACTTTTTCATGAGTTCTTCTTCAAACGATTTATGTATGTCATTGTTATTTGAAAATAAGAGGAAGTCATCCACATAAATGACTACTATTATGATTTTTTTTAATGATAATACACACAAACGTTAAAATTAGCTTGAAGTAAACCAATGCATTTCATTTCTTTATCCAAGTTTTGATTGAAAATACTGGGACAGTNTTTCATTTCTTTATCCAAGTTTTGATTGAAAATCCATTTACGATGAATTCGTTTTCTGTTTTTGGTAAGAATTACGAGCTCCCAGGTTTTATTTTTTACTAGAGAAGAATATTCTTCTTGCATCGTTATCCATTGCTTGAGAGCTTCGTGGACATTTTTTGGTTCGTTAACTGCCTCCATTATCATGACAGCTTGCATGACATAATCATTGAATTTTTCTGGCAGTTTCCGTTCTCGTAAAGAGTACCTGTTTTCTGGTTGCTTGGATACATTTTCTATGTTTATTGGTTCATTTCGGCAATCATTAGTATCACATACTGGACGTTGCTTGATTTCTCCATTAGTTTCTTGGTTTGCTTGTTCATTTTCAATAAGAATATCTTCAGATTGTGGATTTTTTATTTCTGTAGGATATGTTTCGGAAATATTGTCATCACAATAGGTTTCTTCAAATACGTTTCCCGAAGAATGAAGACTAGTTGAAGCCATTTTTTGTTCGACAAAAATAACATTACGCGCCTTATGTACATCCTGTGTTTTCATATTTATCAGCCGGTATGCCGTGGAATCTTCGCAATAACCTACAAATACGTAGTTTTGTGTTTTATGGTCAAATTTTGTTCTCTCCACTTTGGGTATGTGAACATACGCGACACAGCCGAAAATTTGTAGATTTTCCAGATTTGGTTTTCGTCCGCTCCACGCTTCTTCTGGGGTTTTGCCTTGAACTGCAATAGTAGGATTTCTGTTTTTCAGATAACAAGCCGTATTAATTGCATCTGCCCAATATTCTTTAGATAAATTTGCATCTTGCAACATTGAACGGGCTTTTTCAACTAGAGTTATGTTTATCATCTCCGTTACACCATTTTGTTCTGGCGTGTATTCAACTGTTGTTTGATGTTGAATACCTTTTTGTCGTAAATATTCTTGAAAATATCGGTTTACATACTCAGTTCCATTATCACTGCTAATAGCGGCGATTTTCGAATGTTTTTCGGGTAAAATCATCAGTAAATGTGAGAAAGTATAATTTTTCCCCATTGATTTTTCTGGCATCGGTTCGCAAATATTCGAATAGATGAGTTCCAATTTTCTACTGGTTCTTATAGTCTTACCTTTCGGAAATGGTTTTCTAGTTTGTTTTCCTTGAATACAACTGTCACGCAATTTTTCACTGTGGCATTTATCAAAACAGCGACCTTCGGCAAATCCATCTTGTAGTAACTTCATACCACCAACACTCAAATGTCCTAGTCTTCGGTGCCAAATATCATAAGACAAACATTTTTGTAATTGTGTATAACACATATATCATTCTCAAAGGTAGTTTTTAATCCTTTTCTTCCTAACTGTTGGCATGAAATTGAATTGAATTCAAGTCCAGGTGCATATCTTATGTCACGGATTGGAGTTTTGACTTCATATCCATTGACATTAAAAAAAACAGTTGTTTCACCATTTTCTTCTATATCAAACTACTCTCCAGATGCAGTAACTATGGTATCTTGGTTTTCAACTGCTTTGAGGTTTTTACGCCAATCTTTTCTGCCAGTAACGTGAACAGATGCTCCTGAATCAATATACCAGTCATTTGGATTGAGATTTCCAATACCAAGGACTGAAGAATGTATAATCAAACCGAATTCATTAATGTGAGCTACATTCGTATTTTCACTTCTTTGCGAGTATCTACAGTCTTTTGACAGATGACCTACTCTATGACAGATGTAATATTTTCCCTCGAACATTTTTTAACTGGTCCTTTCATTAGGAAGGCGGGTTTTTTCTTGCTGTTTTCAAATTTGACTGTTTCTGCAGAAAGACGTTCTTTTACCAAGTCTGTTGTGAGTTGAGCACCACAATTTTCCAAAGCCATGATTAACAGTTTGTAATGATCCGGAAGACTTAGAAAGATAAGTGCAGCTGAGACACCATCTTTTATTTCGTGGTCGATTGCTTTAGGTTGTTGAGCTAACTTTACTTTTTTAGAAAGGTAATCATCCATGCCTCTACAGTCATTGTATTTTATCATTACCAATTGTTCGATCAAAGCAGCAACTCTTGAAAATCCTTTGGGTTCAAATATTTTAGCTAAGCGATTCCACACTTCTTTGCCTGTTTTCAATTCCCTTAGTTCAGTGTAGATATGAGTTTTCACACTAGACACTATGGATGCAAGGGCTCGTTTACTTTTACCTTCAAAATTGGCTTCTTTGTCATCTTTTGTTCCATCTACATACTCCAACAGTTCGCAATTGATGAGATGAATTTCTATGGCCTCCTTTCAGTCGATATAATTTTCACTTCCCTCGAGTTTTTCGAAAGAGGCTGAGACGGCAGTATTTGATATGGACATTTTATCAGGAACAGGTATATATAACTTATTTTGCCTTCTAATTGCAGTACAAAAACAACAGAGATGTTCAAATGTGCAATTCTGGGCCCATAACCTGATACAATTTGTATAAGATTGAATATAATTAAATATACTTGATAACTTTTTTGGAACGTATATTTTGACAAGTAAACAAACTCGAATGTTTTTAAATAACAACTACAACATAGTTATATACAGTGGGCTCATCCATTATAAAGGAACAATCTTCATTCTGCAACATCATCACACGTTACGATCCGATTGAAAAAGGATCGTTTCGTTTTTGTGCAAAAGCAAAGAAGAACAGACCTTGAAACGTGACAATTTCTGTCGATCGTTCGAATCGTGGGGCACCCACTTTTCAAGCTCTTTGACTTTTCCAATACGTTTTAAACCATCAAATACCGCATAGGAGCTGACGCCCAGTTCTTCCGCCATCTCACGCACTGTTTGTGATTGGTCAGACTTCCCCAGGGTCCTCAAATTCTTGTTCTGGATTAGTGTAGGTCAACTACTTTGGGACTACTTTTGGTTCAATTCGAATTCGTAAAGGAAAATTAGCCGAAAATCGCTTAAGGCCAAAGAGGCAAAACATTGGAGTTTGGAAAAATGAATAGCATCAATGTACAAAGTACAAAATTCTCTATCAATCAGTATGTACCACGAGGCAGTAGAATGCATATGTATTGAGGTATGTAGCTACAAAACACATCACATTAAAACGGACGAAACTTTCGAAACAACCTCATACCTATAACTGATCCAATTAAAATTTCCTCTTTACCACTAACGACATTGAATTTTCCCAAAAGAAAATAGTCAAAACGAATTTGTACAGTAACAGTGAATTATTTGTAACACATTTGTGTAATGAAATAGTCAAATATTAAATTTTGAGGTGAATAATCGATAGTTTCTTTAATTTGACAACACGGGGTGAAAGACCCCATGCGCGTCCCACTGTCCTCCGACATTAATGATAAGCCACAAATGCCCTTTTTGCTCTACTCTGTAGGTGAGAGTTCCTGTCCAGGATAGTATCAAGGTATTTCACCTCTTCAGAGAAGTTTAGTTTGCTTTTGAAAATTTCGGAAGGGTTTAATCCCGATAAACTTCTTTTCCTGATGAAAAGGACCATCCCAGTCTTCTTGGGATTGATCGACAATGAGTATTCCATCCTACGCTCTATTGCCCAGTGTGTTCACAAATTTGCCGGTCTGCATGATAACTATGTCATCTGCATATGCAATTGTGTAGAATCCATTATTGTTGAGGTGATTGATCAGGGTATCCAGAACTATGTTTCATAGAAGGAACAGCAAAACAGTAATCACTTCGGATTCTCTTATAATGGTTCTATCTCAAATATACTATCCCAACCCATCAAAGGAAACAAAAAGGTTGACCAATTAGTAAGAGGTGTGATAAACAGCGAACGACTTTGGCCGGTTTTCAGATTCATTAAATCAGACTTCAAGCAAACTTCGAAATGGACATTCATAAGAAGATGTCAGGCCCAGAGGAAATATTCTACAAACAAACCTACCAAGTTGAAAATCGATACTTCTTTAGAAAAACCAACCCTCAATGAAAACAAATCCAGTAATCGTAGCAAGTTTACGACTGGGACATACCTATATAACACACTGATACCTCGCCTCGAAAAATGAACGACCCACTTGTCACATACGCCCATGCAACCTCACGTCAACCACATTTTGCTAGAAAGAGAGAGGACGAGAACATAATGAAACTTAACAACATCTTGAAAGACATTATACTTCTTGATAAGATCTAATATACTTCTAGGCCGAACCACTCAACTGTTAAAAAAACAAGCCTGAAAGTAAAAGTGATGACAACTCCCCTTACGAAGACCCCATCTATGGGATAGACAGAAAACTTAATAATCAACAGTGAATGTTCTACCCGTCAAGGTCTCATTAGTAGTGATAGGCACAACCACTCAACTGTGTTGAAAAGAACAAACCTGAAAGTAAAGGTGATGGCATCTCCCTGTACGGAAACGTCGTCTATGGGATCGACAGAAGACTAAATTCTCGAATATCAAAGAAAAACGAGGTCTTTAAGACGATCAGTTGTAAAGGGGAGATGTCATCACATTCACTTTCAGACTTTCTATTTATAGAACAGTAAAGTGAATCGGCCTAGGGTCACTGATGAGCCCTTGGCGGGTCGAAACGGGGATCTCTGATGTTGGATCACAAATTCATGCAAATTCATGCTTTCATGCAGTGAAAGCTGGAGATGAATCTCTTTCGGCGGTCGATGTCGAAGCTTGGAATTGCAACTGACCGCCGTAGGGAGCCTCGTTTATATTTGTTAGTCGAGGATTGAGTGTTCCGTATATCTTATAGATGACGCCTTCGTATGTGTTATCATTTTTTACTTCAAAATTAAATGTGATAAATGTGAATGTAATAATATGTAACGTGTCTGGTAACCTCAAGGTTTGAAAAAACAATAAATCAAAGTAATGAAAAAAATATGAAATATCATTTATCACACACAAGTAGATTATCCCAATTATTTAAGAAGACTCGTGCCGACTCGATACGAAAACAAGTGAACGTCCATTGGTCGCGTTCGAGTTAGAAATCCGGACGACACTCTAACCGTCAAATGTAGCTCAAATATCCCACAGTTGAGAAATTTTGTCCAATCCCATTGTCAATAAACATCAGTGTAACTAATTTGAACCGTCCCAGAAGTGTCCGAAATGTGAACTCTAATACACCTATTATAAAGCGAGGTAGATTACTTCAAACACTACAGTATCGCCTTTCATAATGTACCTCATGTACCTATTATAAAGCGAGGTAGATTACTTCAAACACTACAGTATCGCCTTCCATAATGTACCTCATGTGGTAATGTTTTGCTATCTTTCTGGTTTCATGAAATTGTATAGATCAAGAACTAAAGTGCACCTACAACCAAGCCCTGAGGAATACCATGTGTCGTTTCTTTGAAGTTTCACTTTATATACTTATTACTGCAACATATTGGTATCTACCTATTTGTGAGATAAGGATGGACGAGCTTGAGAGCCGTGCCTCTATGATGTGTTCATCTTTTCAATCAAAATAGTGTATGATACACAATCAAATCTTCTTGTCAGATCAAATAGTGCCAAATAAAAATGCTTTTTCCGATCAATACTCTCGAATATGGCGGAAACTAGTTTGTAAGCGTCTTGTGAAAACTTTATGTCACTGGCCCAGACAATTCCGCTACATCACTATGACAGTTCATAAAAGTCATTCATATATCTGGATCTTTCAATTTCGGCCATAGGAATTAGGCCATAGGCCATAGAATTATTGAAAGGAGTATATTTATTTTCATTCTACAAAATATTGACGGGTCGGTCCGCAAAAGTTAAAAAAAAAATGTTAGAACGCCTCATAAAATAATGAAAATTAGCGCAATATTTCTCCTATTTTCAAAATATTTGTGAAGAAACTAAACACTAAAGGAGCCCAAAAACAAGAGATATTCTTTTTTAATTTTTTTTGATCTCCTGGAACTTCTGGCGTAGGATAAATCAAAAACGAGCACATTTCCCTATCAACAGAGATCTTCTCGACTCACGTTTCACCAACCAAGAGGTAGTTTAGTCTTTAAGAGGAAGTTTATTCTTCCTCTTGAAGATGATCACTTGGTGATCGAAACACGTGTTAAGGTTTTGAAATAATGGTTTGGTGTTGGGAAAAAATTCCAGTAATATTCATTACTACACCAAAGGTTCCAAACAGTGTATCACAAAAACCTTTCTTCCCAAAAATTAATCTGTCCTAAAATATACCCCTTTCAATTCAGTATTGAGATATATCACGAGTAAAACTGATATAGTTATACTGTTCAACCTCAGACTGAACTTAAACTGTTTGACCATTTTCGATATTCTGATTAAAAACGGCCACTTTGGGGTGACTTACCCTATACAACATAGCTATAATTTTCTGTCGCGTTAGTTAATTCACTTTTCACTTTTTGATCACGTTCGTGTCCACTTACAATTATCGAAGCACTGAAGATTTTTTCCTCGACATGCTTCACCATTCTGAATTCATTTTATGCTCTAGATAAACCTAACAGAACATACACTCATATCATTTACTCACCGAAAAGTACTTCATATCCTAATTAGACGAGCACCGCAGAACAAATGAGCGAAGCTCAGGCAGCCAACTGTTTATATAATTAATTTAATTTTGCAGCATAATTTCTTCCACTTTCATGGCATTTTCAATAATTAGATTTTATCTGGGAAACAATGGTTGGTAATTACACCGTTTTCGCCGGTCTCAGCCTGGAACACTGTCCGATAGAAAGGATTAGAAGGTTTATAATGAATACTCACTCTATTACGATTTTTAAAAATAATTTTCAAAATTTTGACACTTCGATTAAGTGCTACATTAAAAAAATATCATTTTGATAGAACTGTTTTCTTTCCTGCGGTGATGATAAACATTAAATTTGACACTTTACCTACTTTTCTATCTGAGGAAAAGTGAAATATACGTTTCCAGTAGTACACCTATATGTTTAACTTTACCATTTTGTATTGAGGTGTGATTTTTATGATAATACAGAACGGGAAAAATAAATAACGAACAATTGAATAATACCCTCATTCCCTTTGAATGAATAGTACTCCCTCATTGTATTTAAAAAAGTGGGTTGGATTATGTCGAATGAAGTTGAAGATATTTATTTCTTTGTTTCGAGTTTTTCTTGAAAATAACTATAACTTAACTTCAAAAACTAATTTAAACGCATTAATTAAATGTTTTTAATAGAAGAGTTGAATTTCCTGAACATTGTTTAGGGTTTATAACTTTCCCAAATCAGAAAAATAATCACAGTGGATGAAGAATCAGTACAATGAAGAATAAACTAAAAATTTTTTTACCCGCTTTTCTCGCTCAAGAGTCTAATATTTTATAGTTTCGAATATGACTGAAAAGAACTTTTTTTCCGGGAAAACATCTGAGCGAAGGCGACTTCAATCTTGAAATGTTGTTAAATTCCGAGTTTGAACTTGGAATTCAATGATTTTTTTTAAATACATTGCTTTCTTCCTTTCTTTGAAAGATTTCCACATTTTTTGTATAAAAATGAAGAAATAGAAAGCCAAAACTTTCCTTTCCCAAAAATAAATCATTCCTGAAAATATACCCCATTCCAGGGCCGTACCGAAAAGAAAAACCAGGGGGGAGAGAATCCAAATTTTCCCAACAACAAAATTTACCAACTTTCGAAAAAAATGAAAGCAAATCCTGGCATCAGTCTACAGCTGCACTATCAGTCACTGAAATAACATCCGAAACAACACTTATTTTCTCATCTGTCTTCAAATTATCACTCGTTTCCATTTTTTCCCCAGTTAACATAACCAAATCTTTTTCTTCGGTTCCCTCGCCATCTTTCTCAAGTTCAGAAGCACTATGCGGGTATTTTTCTCTTTCAATGATCTCCTCTCCTGTCAAAAAAACCTCCAAATCATCTTGAAAATGTTTTTCAGCGCTGTTATCTTTGCCCGCAGCATTATTATCTTCGACAGTCACATTTTCATGCTCTTCGCTTTTTACAGCAACAGCATCACTCCCTTCTGCCATATTTCCATGAGCCATGATGGGTTTCCAACTGGTATTGAGCCTATGGTGCCTACCGATATGGACCGTCATGTCCATTTCCTTAGGTACTATTTTCTCAGCACTGATGATATCGTAGATATTTTTTGGTTTCCTTATACTTTGCTCAAAGGTGATGGGTCTTCTATTCGTATAGTAATACTGACCAGGACTGCTGACTTCATATTTACCAGCACTATCATCTTCGTCACTGGGACTTTCGAATCCGTAATTTGTTACTCTATGTTCCTCACCCTCTTTTTCTTTGCCGTCATTGTTGTCTTCTAGTTCGCCTAGTAGGAGACTCTGGGTTTCGTAGCTTTTCGGTTTTTGGGTGCTTGGGGATGGTATATCGATGAAATAGTCTTTGTCGTATGTCGAGGGGAAGTACGTAGTGATATCCGGCGGCAGGGAATAGCTTATGGATTTTAGGATTTCGATGTCCGGAGAGTGGTCTAGCAAATCTGAAAATGAAAACTTGTTAGAACTTCAGCTCCACTTAGAACCTCAACTTGGGATGGAATATTTGATAACGATGTACAGTGTATAATAGAACTTACTCTAGAGGCACCATGAGGGTAACAGATATTCTAATATACGGAAATATATTAGCAAAATATATGTATATAATTCTAAAAATGGTGCTTGATAATTGAAAGATATGTATTGATATTATATTTTATAACTGTTTAAAAAACACCTGGGCAAAGTTTTGATTATTGCGTTGTGAAAAAAATCTGAACAACAGTATGTATGTATGTTGATATTACAGAAGTGAAGTGAAAATCTGTCTATTTCTTATCTTTCATACCTAATCCTGTATTGGGTTTCAGTAAAATTTTACGTGTTTTGATTAAAAAAAAAATCGAACTTGACATAGATACTTTAGATATTATTTATTCTGATGAAAACTGAATGAAAACGAATACTAGCTGTATACTTTGACTGAACAAGAAAATAATAGAAGAAAAGCAATCAAAATTCAATTAGAAATCCAATTCAGTTATAATCGATGCAACGACAAATGTTTTACCGTAAACTACTTAACCGAGTAATTTTATTATTTCCTCACATAATTTGAAAACCAACTTGAATTCCAAGAGTTTACGGTATTAGGTACTCAACGATTTAATCAGAATTGAATCGTACTCTTTATTCGGCTTCGTAACGGTATATGTCATTAAAGTGTTCATTTTGTCATCGGTGTACACTGATTACATCGAAACAACAGACAATGAATCTGATGTATTTCTGTCAGCTGTCAGCTGTCAACTATCTACTGATAGCGGGGGCGAATGAAGGACTTTGGTCCAAGTTGCCAACCTGAAATATTAATGAAGATTAAACTTCCTCTTGAAGATGATCACTTGGTGATCGAAACACGTGTCGAGGTGTTATATTCATTACTACACCAAAGATTCCAAACAGTGCATCACAAGTGCTTACAACAAGTTGCAGTGTAGTGAGAGCTACAATGGAAGACAGAAATCGAAGCTTGACTTTGCAACTGACAGGAGCCTCGTTAATCACTGATATTCATGGTTTGGATTACCTGTATCTACAAGTACATTTCTGTCCGTAGTCTAAGCGGCACATCTTCCAGTAGAAAAGAACACAGAATAAATCTATCAAGTAATTTAAAAGTATTCCCGCCACTACGTTGAAAGAGAAATGTTCTTAAAAATGTTATTTCTGAATCGCATGTGGGTTTTGCTCTAACCACGAGTGATTAATGTTAAAATTGTATAAAGTATTGTGTGAGAAATTTGCTTAATTTGCTTTGTTGTTGATCGGGATTTGAGTTTGTAATGAAGTATTGTTGAAAATGCAACGACAGAAGTTTGTACCCAATGAACAGTCATGAATGAGAAGTATCCAAACTTTTTATATACAAGGTAATTCAAGAAAATTTTTGATATCAGAATAAGAGAAATTTGTCAGGCCTACATTTCTGGTGCCCAATGAATACTGAAGAGTGTATCGATTTTTTCCCGTTCTTTTGAGAATGTTTTTTAAGTAGAAGTCTTCGGTCAGGCTAACGGATACAAATGTATGTTAAATGCATTTCTATTAGCAAGTAATTTTTTCAATAATCAAGATATAATATTCGATGACACAAAATAGAATACTGCTGAATGAAGGCAATGACACTCTTTATCTTCTTATGTATAATATAGGCAATAGTCGTCATCTCCAACATCTATTGTAATGTTAATTTAATATTTCATGCAATATTGTTGTTTGAAAATAGTGTTATTTTAATTGAAAAAGTTGCTCTACAAAGTTCTTTCAAGTTTTGATGAACATCGATTACCTTACATTGAACTTTTTTGTTTTCCAGAATGTGGTACGAACGTGCACGAGAAAGTTGTAACTCTTCAAAAGTGAAAAAAGATATGAAGGTAGCGCCCTCTGTGAGTATGAGTGGAACCAAGATGAAATTTGAATTGCTACTGTTGAAAAAGTATCCAAAAAACTAATGCAAACTGGAGCAAAAATACCTAAGGAATATCGGACACATATTGAAAAACATCCTGTAAATTTTCTCTCCTTTTTGAAACCCAGGAAATGTAATGATCTTCAATTATTTTGTATTTGTACAGTGAATACAATTCTTTAAAATGGAAGGGGTATATTTCAGAAGATATTACTTATTGGAAAATAAAGGTTTTTGGATTTCTACTTCTCCCTCTCTATACAAAAAATTCTCAGCTCTCAGATGAGTTACTAAAATAACTCTTCTGATTTATCCTTATTATTTGGAGGAAATTGCACCTATCTAGACCACAAATTTTTTCCTCACTTACCTAAGGTGGGAGTTTTCATTTCACTGGATAGTACTGGGCCAGTATATCTTATTTCCGGTGGTTCAGGTACAAGGAATTGTATTGGAAATCGCAAATTTTCGAAACCACCGAAGCCTACTCCCAGCGGATACCTAGCTCTCATCCAATTCGAAAACCCTCTATCACCTCCACTATAAAAATTCTGGTGAGACAGCGGCCCCTGCCTATATCTTCCTTCCTGGATCTGTGGTAGGTGACTCGGAAGATGACTTGGATTCTTGAAAAACAGTGCGCTACCTTCGTTGTGGTTTTCTTGAGAGGTTGGGAAATTTGAAGGAAGTACTAGTTCTTTGAAGCCAGCGAAGTCTCCCAGTCCCAGTGATAGTAGTACGGGTGGTTTCGTCAATCCATTCTGATCTGTCATGAAGCTGGGGTGAAGGTGTGAAATGTAAGGGGAATAATGGATATTTCCTGGATATTTTTCGTATAGCGGTTTTGTTGAGGCGTCGATTTTGTCTGTATTTTTGGCGTCTTCGTTGCCTTCTTTCAGAAGATCACAGATTATTAAGTTGGTGAGTATTGAAAGAATGATGG